GAAAGAAAAATTAATAGCACATATATAAAGGAATTACATATATAGAATGCTAGAACAATGCCAAACGTATATATGGAAACTTATAAAATATGTATCCGAGACAAGTTAATATTTTAGTTACAGATCATTAACATTTATTTATTTATGCTAGTTAATAATAATTACTAACTAGTAGTAGTTTATTAACCATGTTTGTTTTATTGCATAGCTCTTGAAAAACAATCAAAATTAAGGTAGGTGTGTTTAGTAAAAAAAGACCTAACTTTAACCCATTCCTGTCCTTTCTCAAGTGCATAAAGTCTTACTAGGAGATCTTACAGCATCATTCATCCTATAAATCACCATTAAATATCCACTGTGGTGCTGGTATGATTTTCTATTATTATGAACTGTCTATTGAGTGTAATGTTTTCAATGGGTAGTCAGCATAACAGTCATACTAAGAAGTTGTGTGTGGAGAAAATAGTATTTAGCAGCAGCAAAATCAAGAAGCTTCCAATTTGCTAAAATTAAAACATTGAAAGCTTGCATTTAGAGTGCTCTACTGTTATTTTTTGCCATCACTACAAAATTCAAGGCATCAAAATCTAATTCATTGTCTTTGGGATTAAAGCATCACGTGGATTAGACTGAACTCTTGAAAGTACTTGTTAGTTATAAAATGGTAATTTGTTCCATACCCTAAACTGAGCATTTATATGCTTTATATGGTGCTGCTCATTAAGTCTTAAAAAAAATGAAATGCATGGCAAGTTTTTGATGGAATCCTCACAGGAAGTCAGAAGTATGGTGGTAAAATAACTTACAATGTTCAGTGCTGGGAAGTTGCATTCTCTTGTTAGAAAACATTTCTCTCCCTCAAGGAAGCAACGGTTCCCAGCATGGTTTCAACTGGACCATGTTGAAATCCAGTTCCATGTTAGAATAAGTTTAGATTTATGAATTAAGTCAACACTTAGCCACCAGAACTCTTTGTTACAGCCACCTGCTGGAGTAGCTATTCCTAAGGCATTCTACACCTCAGTGCTATTTTCAATTCCACTGGCGTGTGCACCATTCTTACAATGCACTGGGTGCATTTGCCTGTATGTTTTGCAAATTGTTTTGAAGAGATATAGGGTAACAACTACTCCAGAAATCCCTTTGGGGAGATGTTTCAATTTCCAGGTTTAAGAATTGATTAAAACGAATTCATGCCAAACTGGCTGCATAATTATTTCCAGAGCAAATTAGACTGAGAGGTAGTTTATCATTTGTGCTGGCTGACTTGCTGAAGGATTTATTTTCTGTTAACAAATGAGTGAAACAGTTTGGCAGATTCCCTATGAAAGAACTAAAAATATTTTACTTTAATTTTAGTAACTGCAACCCAAGAGTTAGCCTGTATTACTGATTTCATTTTTCGCAGAGGGATTAGGTACTTGAATCTAAGACAGAATGTTTAAACTGAATGACATTATCAGTGACTCAGAATGAGTCAAAGTTTATTGTTAAAACTGATCCAGACTATGCTATGGTTTAAAGATGTTACTGTCAACATATAGATATCTTTTTTTCAGTAGAAATAAATTCCTCTTTTGAAATTTATTGTCATTTAAATTCACACATATTTTAAAAAACTTTTATCTTACAATACTGACAAATTTGTCACAAAATAATCATTTGCATTAATTTATTCATTCAGTTGTTAATCTAAATTTGGCACTCAAAGACAGCCTAACTGCCTAGTAATCAGGACTTTCAATAACACTCTATAATCTCTAATGAGATCTTTATTTTATGTTAAATACTTGATATTATCCCAGTTTTTCTCAAGTGCATTTATATAGTATATATGTAAAATATATAATGCACATTATATATAAATATAATTATTTGCCTCGTTTCCTTACTTTTCATACATGGTTTATAAATTACAAAGCAATTTCTTTGCTTTTAAAAACTTTGTGAAGCTCATAAGTTTAAGTTTCTTAGCTGGGTGTGGTGGTGCATGCCTGTAATCCCAGCACTCTAGGAGGCTGAGGCAGGAGGATCAAAAATGTGAACTCAGCCTGGGCAACATTGTGAAACCTTGTCTCAAAATTAAAAAGTAAATTAATAAATTTTAAAGGGCTGGGGATGTAGTTCAGAGCAAAGGCCCCATGTTTCATCTCCAGTATCACAAAAACACACAAAAAAACAAACAAAATCTTTCTTGCCACAAATTTTTTAATGCAAATGAAAGGCAAAAAATTTGCCAAGTGTGTTTATTAATCTGGTGAAGAGTTTGCTTTGTTACTACTACCTTTCCTAAGAATTAATTTTATCTCACTTGTATACTAATAAAATTTCACATTTAATCTGTGACTTAGTTTGATATATTAAAAATAGTAAGTAGAGTTTTCAGTTTGAGTCTTTTGCAGTGAACTTAAAGCCATACGAACCTGAAGTCAGACCTGTTGTCTGGTTCACACTGCTTAACTATTGGTACGTCGGTTGGATTTATACCTGCTCCCTCAGTTTCCTGAGTCTCAGAGTCTTCATCAGCAATGTAAAGGAGTTGAACTAGATTATGTCTAAAATGTCTTCCGGCTCTAAGTATTTCACATTCTATTTTCTCAGACAATCTGATATTTCCCATCACTACATCCACAAAAGCAGGTTTGATTTAAATCACTAGAATTCCAATTCTATTTCCTGTCCGCTCCATCCTGAGATTTCAGAATAAGACTCCGGTCAAAGTTGCTATGGAAGATGACACGGCGCATCCTATCCAGTACCTGTGTGAGGCAGGCCACATGAGACGGAAGTAGAGACCCAGCTTCAAGAGGGTGGAGACAATAGCAAGTTCCTGGGTACTTCCATACTGTGTCCAAACTTGAGCAAACACCAGGAAGATGCTAAGGACTAGGGAAAAGATGAGGGAAATTGGTACAAAACAGAATAGAATTTTTCTATTAAAAACACCTTTAGAGCTCTATTTCCTATTTTGTTCTAGAAAAAAAAAATAAGGAAAAGAAACTGCAATCTATAATGAGAATTGGGTTTTATTGTAAAATGATAGTGTTATATCTTTTTTGAAACTTTATATATAAAAATGTTAAGTATACATATTGTGATATAAGCAGGACAGTGATATTTCTAGTCAACATACTTACACTATTTGAAAGTCATTTGTTAATCTATTTCTTCATATAATAATTACTAAAAACTTAGTTTGTGTCTATTGGGTTAGTCTAAAACACATTGGTGGGCAAATGGCAATTCAGTTAAGAAAAGAACAAATGCTCTACTGTGATATGCAAAAATAAGCACATATAATTCCTTCTTCAGCAAGAGTCAGGGTGTCATTGCTATGCTCTATCACCAAAATTATACTGTCTGTTCTTAAAACAGAGAGATTACATTTCAGAAGACAATAATAATATTGCCATAAATATTTGAGGTACACTATAGCACGTAAAAAAAGTAATGGAAAACATTATCAGTCTTTGTGATGTAAAGCCTGCCAAATGAAGGTGAAATCTTTATTTTTAGGTGGATAAAATCTCAGTACTAACTTTTTCAAAAGAACCAAACTTCAAGTATAAAATTGTGAGAAATCTTATAGATTTCTGAACTTTATTTAACTCCATATGTTCATAAGTTGCCTTTTGAAGTCTATTTTCTTCTAAACATTCATATGAAACATAAAATTTTTTGTTTTGTGAGTTTTCATTAGATGAAATTATGTTCTTGCTAATGATAGCATGAATATAACAGTGATAGTTTTAGATAAATTTAATAAACAAATACATGGAGATTTGTTTATCTGGGCCACGGAGCATTGCTTGTATCCATTGTTTAGAAAGCTCTTTTAAAATAATTGAACAATTCTGACATAAGTGCCGTTGCAATCAATTTGCTCTGGAGAGGGATGTGTGGTGATAGGGTGATCTGCCTGGCTGTATATATTAACAAAAATGTCCCAAAGGATTTGGAGAATTTTATTGATTACACTAGATGATTGCAGTGATATCATGTAGGCCATGCTGTTACTGTATAAGTTGGTTCCCAGTCATTAATATATGTTTGAGGTTAATAACCTTTAAAGATGTGAATTGCGTTTGTGTAAATGTATATTATATTCCCATTCTTTAATCCATATAACGGAGGAAATTCCAAGAAGATATCTCTATGACATTGGAGCCAAAACAAAGTTTTTTTGATCACTGTGTTCCTTTGGAGTTAAGACTTTTATGTCTTTGTAATATAATTAAACTGAAAAGGAAGAGGTACAAAATGTTGATGATGCAGTTATAGTCCTGTAAGGACTCATAGTCATCACGGTAGAAGAGCTCTGGAGTGAATTCTGAAAGGTCACCATCTCTGAATACTGGTGGGAGGAATAGAGACCATCATACACTGTGTAATTTGAAGACTGTCAGAAATCTTGTTGCTTTTTGCCTGGTAAAACAAAACAAAACACAAAACGAAAGCAAAACACTTCTCTCCAGTTCTCCTGTAACTACTAGTATCTAATATTCTGTCGGTAGAAGATCATTTCTATTGTTTAACTTTTAAAATTATTGTCAAATACAAACATCTCTGGAAGAGAAAACACACCCAGGCAAGGTATGCAAACTCACTGCTTCCTGGGACTGGTAGATTGGGAGCATGGCCCGGGAAAATGATGGGGACCATAGAAAAAAAGCCTCAAATCTCCTACTGTACAGTAGCCAATATTTTATATGAATTTTACTAATTTTGTATACTAGCAACCTATTAAAAATACTTTGTACCTGCCAAACTATACATACTACCTGCTAAGGGGGCCAGTTCAAACTGTTCTACGGGCCAGTGCAATGTTTCAATCACTTCTTAGAATTTAGAAGACCTGAATTTCAGTCTCAAATATGCTACTTTTGAATGATCTTAGAAAATCCAGCTAAACTGTAAACTTCCTGAGATCTGAATTTGTATCCCTGCACTAGTTAGCAACCCCAAAGGAGACAGATGACATACTCACGGTAAGTTAAGGGGATTTTATTTACAAGGGTACTCGTCATGAAATTCCAGGTGGAGAATGCACAGGAAGGCCCAGGAGCAGCCCAGCTGTCATCACCGAGGGCCTGAGAAAAGGGGAAAGGATGAGGTTATCGCAGATGGAAAGAGACACAATGAAATGTGTTCAATCTGAGTCCACCAAAGGAACATGTAAAGTAAGGGAGCCACGGAAAAAGTAACCTTGTTACTCTCCCCTTCTTCTAACTGATCTCCTGGCAAGGCTTCCCATTGGCTGACCGCACTGGAGACCTCAGGGTTGGGAGCTGGTGAATACAGTTTATGCCGGCGGAAATCTCCCCTTTCTTTCCAACGTCTGAAACAATGTGTTGAACCTAGTTGGCGCTGAATTATTATAGAATCGCTCAGTTTTGCCTTTTGTTTAATTTCTAAAAGGTAGATATTAAGGTGCTACGGTCCCTTCCAGCATCAATCTTCTGACTTCGTTATTTTATACTAGAAATGAGAATGTAAAAGGGATAAATTTGGGAGAAATTCTGAGAGCTTTATGTGTTCTATCCTAAAATCAGGTATTAGGTTCCTCACCACAAAAGCAAAAGAAAAACAAAGCAAAATAACAGCAATAACAATGATAAACCAAACCAACACAACCCAACCCAAACCAACCCAAACCAAATGGAACCAAATGAAACCAAACCAAGCAAAACAAAATCAACCTAAATTAAAGCCAAAAGACACTAAAATTGAGATAAAATTTTTTTGGAGTAATGTCATATAGCATATGAAAAACAGGGGGATTTTGCTATAGACTTCTTTGGTCTCTGACAAATTTTCACATATTTACCTTCAAGAGTGGGGGTAAGGATTGAAAGTTTTTGTTATTAATATGGTTGGATGCTTTAATAACAACCATATCATTAGAATATGCTATGAATCATTCATAGATACTATCTATTAGTGCTTGATATATGATCAACTGCCAATTTTAATCTGGGTCTTCATTTCAGAAAGGTTACTAAAGAACTGAAGTGAGATATTAATTGGAAGAAAAAACTTAATAGTGTATAAATCCTTGAGAAATTGTCTATTAGACAAGGTGAGGAATAAGGGGGAGTGATAATATGTTATGTATACATATGAATCTGCCAAAATGAAGACCATTATTTTGTATAATCAATAAACAGTAGAAAAAAATTCACTGAGAGCAATGACCCATTGATATAATGCTCACCAACACACACCTAAAACACAACAAATATAGTCTAGGATAAACTTCTTCCTCAACGTTAGAAAAGAAAGCATTTGAATCTAGTAGCTCTTGTGGTTGGCTGCCGTTGGAATCTATGGTGAGAATACACCTTCAGAAATAAGGTTGCTGGTCTGCGGCTTCATGCAGGGGAGCTGCATAACTCGCGATTTCAAAACGTGTAACTCACCCATTTCATAGCGTCCTCCAGCAGTCATCGACGTAACCCATGAGCTGCAGGAAGTTGTGGGAGTGTATCATCACGGTGCCATAAGCAGCTGGCCTCTTCACATGGGACAGTGATGATTATATCGCGGTTTCACAGAGAGACAGATCCAGGGAATGATGACAGCCGGGTGCCAAGCTACTTTAGACACACATCAAAGCTGATCTTGAAACTTGGCCTAGGTGTGGAATGGTGGGAAAAGAAGCGCGTGGCTTTCAGGATTTCAAAGAGTCACTTTCAGGGAAAAACACCACACAGAAAAGACGACGAGATGGAATGAACAGCTGCGCCAGGATTTGCTTAGTGGTTACACTGCCGAGCACAACTTTTGGTTGTACGAAGGATGAAAGGCAATGCCAACTTTGCGATTTCCTCTTCACCTAAGGACATCTGTACCTGGAATAGTTCGCCTTTCCTCTCCTCCCACTCCTGTACATTTACTTGAAATATTGTACATTGGGTTTAATCTATTAATGGTAGTATTACTTGACACAAATACAGGTTTGGATGCTGGGATCTTAGGAAAGGGAACACAATAGAACAATTGATAGGGAAGTCAATCAAAATTCCCTTGTATTTTATTTTGATATTGTTACACAGCAGTGAAATGTATTAGAACTGAATAACTGAGTTTGAAAATATTACTGTTCCACCATAAATGTTTAGATTACTACTTTATTCTGTTTTCTTTGTTTATAATTCAAATTCAGTAATGGTTCATAAACCTTTAAGGTCAGTGTGTATTTCCAACATGCTCAACACAAGAAAAAAAATTTAGATTACCTTTCTCATATACTTTTTATTTATTTATAAATTCTGTATAACCTTAATATATTAGATACATTATAAAACACACATTTTATAACATATTGAACAAACTGAGATAAAATGAATACATTATTTTCTTCCTATACTCCAGGGATTCCTTAAGGCTTAAAAAAATAGCAATATTGCTATTGTCTGAATAGTTGTGTCCCCTCTACCTGAGTTCATACGTTAAAACTTAATCCCCAGTGTGAAGATAATAAGAGGTCTTTGTGAGGTGGTGGGTCCTGAGGGTCCTACCCCCAGAACTGGATTGCTACTCTGATAATAGACACTCCTCACCAGTCCTTGTTTTGATCTTAAACTTCTCAACATCCAAAACTGTGAGAAAGGAATGTTTTTTAAGCCACCCAGTTTATGGTGTTTGTCATAGCATCCAAAAAGGGACACAACAAAATACACTAAATTACCTAAAGATAATAATCCCCATGTAATTTTGGAAAGCTTATAGGAGATTTTATATTTTTTGAACTATACTTCTAAGCATTTCTTGCTCATTTTTCAATTCAGATACTACCCAATAAAATGCTGTGTTGTCAGTATCTGAACATCACAAATTCGTTTCCTTTGAGATTAGAACATGGTTAACCCATCTCTGTTTAGTAATTCATTAGCCATAACTTATGTTTGTATTTGCCAAGATGGTTTTATGCAAACAAAATCCAGAAGAAAATAACATAAGCTGAAATAAAATGTGCAATACCATTCTACAAAGCACTGGCTAAATTTCAGAAAAATGTGTCTACTTTATCTCAAACTATATTTTATTTCAGGTCTTGTGAGAGGATATTTGAAAGAATTATAAACAGAGGCTTTGGTGCAAAAGCTTCTTTCAGCATGGTTTGCTGGTATAAAAATGTTCATACCAGTATACCCCATTATATTTATTATATTA